ATCCGCATAGTCAAAAAAAAAAAAAGAAAAAAAAAAAGCAAAGAAAAATTTGGAAGATGTCCCCGGGAATCACAGCGAGAAGGTTGGCTACTGTGGACCAATTATCTGGTCAAGCCACCGGTCTTTACGTAACAAATGCCCGCAGTAGTGAACTTTCTTTGCATCATCCTTTGACGAGCTCAACGACACTTAGAGGCTTACGAAGTGCTGCTCTGTCTTCTGTTTATGAAGCATCTCAACGCAATCGCTATGCGTGAGGCCGCGACTGTGCCGTTACCTTTTGTAACTGCAGCATAGTGAGCGAGCCGGTCCACTATAGACTGGCGAAATTGGCGATGAGTTCTTTCGTTCACCGTTGTTCTTTTAACAGCTTCCAGTACGTCCTTGGCTCTCACATCCTTCGGTGCAGTTCTTGCAATAAATTCTATTACAGTGTCAGCGACGCAATACACATAGACACCACAGTCTGTGTAATTGTTCTGTTGCGGGTATTCTGCATGCAAAAGTTTACTTCCTAGTAGATCTCTACATGTCACCCATGACGTATGAACCTTTTCCGGTGTCAACACCCCCGAGTTGGATGCCTCGTGGAGGTACTCGTGCCACAGAAATATTCGCAAGGCCTTCCATTCCTCTCACTTCTTCCCTTTCAAGGAGTCAACAACGATGGCGATAGGAGGTTCGTAGACATGACTATCGTGAGTGACTGCCAAGAGGGATCTGACATTGAGCAACAGAAGAAGAATCCAATGTTTGTTATGGATCACAGGTATTATAGTGGCTGTTGCGAGTCGCAGTTCATTGCTCAGTCGATGCAACTTCCGTGGTCTATTTTTGATTGCGTCCTTCCATCCGCTTTTCGTCAAATGCACTTTCTGATTGCCAATGACCTCGGGGTGCCAGAAAGTTGTGCAGACATGGACTCTTGCACTGTCCCGTGGCGGCGTCTGTTCTTCATATAGAGATTGCAAACAAATGTCGATAATGTTGTTGTTCAACCATTTGTTGTCGGTCAATCGCAGAACGTCGGATTTTGTTACTGATATAGCGTGTCTCTTTAATTTCCACGTGAATAGGAACAATTCGTCCTCGTCATTTATGTCAGTCTGCTCTTCTCTCGTTCTTGTCATGTCCCCGACTTTCGCTTTTCCATTAATGTCGGATGACTCTTCGATTATCAACTGGGGAGACTTTGGTTCACCCTCTGTCATTATATCGTACATTTCCGCGTACCAAGGGTCCGTCAACATTTTCTATCACCTCTTTGCTGACCTCTCACTAGTCAATGGCAACAACAGTTCGCTTGCCACCTCTCTGCGGTGCTCTTCGTCTTTATTTTCCATCGTTGGACCGGTGACCGGTTCTGTACCCACATATGACCACTTCGCGCCACCACCACACGTGTTACTTTTCTGTGACTCTGTCATCCTCGCTCGGCTTCTCTTACCTGCACCCCGTAATTCAGTGTTCTGTGTCGCTCCTTCCCGAACGTTGCGCGACGTCATAAGTTTATGTTCCTGTTCACACGTGTTGGTAAAAAAGGAATGACACAGACGATTTGTTAAGTTTTTTAACAACGTTAAATCGTTTTTAAAGGATACGAGAGAGAGAGAGAGAGAGAGAGAGAGAGAGAGAGAGAGAGAGAGAGAGAGAGAGAGAGAGAGAGAG